CTGCGCACATCTCCAGGGCTTGCATGAGCAGGGCCACACTCTTTACTGGTCCAGTAGAATAAAGGACAGATTTCTGTCTTTATACATCAGAGCTTTTTGGAATCACTGAACAGAAAGTCTGCACTACAAACAAATTTTCCAGTAAATGTTAATTAGTAGTTGATACTCCTAACTGCACCATGACAAGTAGCCTTCAGGGGCATCTCTGTGAGGACTGGGGTGGTGTGTTAACATCATCAGAATAGCTTGAGTAGCTCCTAGGCAGGGCTCTTCACCAATTCAAAGGAAGGAATATGTCCTCATCCCCATATTACAGATGGGGAAACAAGCACAGGATTTTTTCCCCATAGCCATTTTCTAGTAAGTGGTGTGTGCAATGGGGGCATTATGGAGTAGACAACTACTTCACTGCCTTACCCTGTTTATCTTTCTAGTTCAGTAGCCTTATCCTGATGGCAAGGCTTACAAATACTATGTAAGGACATAAAAATCATTTATTTCATAGCAAATATGTAAACAAGCAACCAAAAATCCTTATGAATCAAGAAAATAATGTGGAAAGTAACACTTGAAATTAAAGTGAAGACATTGGGTTTTATTAGTAATTATTCATTCCCCCAATAACAACTTCCAGGGAAGCTCCACATTATTAATAAATTGCTTATAAAATATCTTTTATAGTGAACTTATTTCATACAATAACCAAAGCGCTCTCATGTTTATACATTTCAAACAGTAATTACTCTATATTTAATGTGCAGCCAATTTGTGGCTTTTAATTTAAATATTCTTTGAATTAGAAAGCTTGGCTAAAAATTGTATAACTGTATAAAGTATTTTTTGCAAAGACAAGGTTCAACATTTTTACCCGGGAAGATGACTGGAGCCGGTCTTGTCTGGGCTACATTTACTGTTTGTCCAACAGCATTACTTTTATACTACTGTTACTAGAAGGTCCATCCTTGCAGATTCGTATGCATACAAGCGCTGTTACCACAAGTAGGATGAGGTCCATAGCTAGAAAAATTATGCTTCACATGAAACAAGTTTAGTTTTCCTCCCCAGGTAGGGAGGATGAATAAGAATGAAGGAGGTCGTGTGATCAACTCAGGCCAGACCTCGAGAGATGAGGAACAGGTTCCTGGGGTAGTTCCTAGGGAAAGGAGCCTAACTTCAGCTAAGTGGGGCTAGAAGGGCCAGGCAGGCCAGATGCCTGAGAAGCTGTAACTGGGATGAGGCAGTAGCTGCAGATGTGTGCTGCAAGGAGCAAGAATGTCTCCTGTAGGGAAAAAAGGAACGACCCCATCTCAGGGAAGGCAAGCTCCAGGTACAAGGAGAGAGGGTAAACTGAACCCAACTCTGGGAATGAGGGCTGGGGACCCTTGACTCAAGGAGTGTTTGAAAAAAGCAGACACTCAGGGATGAGGGGCTGTTCTCAGCTTGGAACTGAGGTGAAGACTCTGGTCAGGTTATATTAAAATGGACCCCAGACAGGGAATGCTTTGATTATCTTACTTGTGTGGACATGTTAAAGGGCCTGGAGCAGAAAGAGAAACTGAGGCTGGGCTCTGCAGACCCACCCCAGGCCACAAAGGGGTGCTCAAAAGGCAGGTAATCCTGTTACAGTCCAGATTTCTAGGAAAAGGCCCTGATTAGCTGTAGCTGTGTAGGAAGATAACTTCTCTATCGTTAAGGGCTGTTGTGCCATAGGACAGGTAGTAATGTCTTCCCTGCTGGACAGCTGGATCCTGGGAAGTGTCCACATGTATTTATTTCCCTTCTTCCTTCTCTGTCTCTTCTATAATGTGTTGGCCAACACACTCTCCTTGCCTGTTGTCCTACTGTTTCCCTTCACAGGACATGGGTAGGAGTACAAACCTGTGGGGATGTAGACCTGGTGTCAATGGTTCTCTGTGCATAGATGGGTCATGTTGGGTACAGATTTACTGGGATGGAGGGAAGTGACTTGCTGCTGCCTCTACTCTAGAGCTGACAGGAGCTGCCTGCTTCCCAGAAGTTATGTCTTAAGTGCTTGGTGGCCAGAGCCCTCAACAAGAGCAGCAAGAGGCCATTTGCAGGGAGCGGGTCCCAGTGTGCAGGCCCTTGCAGAGGGAGGTAGTAGAGACCTGGCACCTCTCGTGGACAGGCACATGTGCCTGCTTCCCAGCATCCCACCTGTGACCATGGCACAGTAGGGTGCTCAGTCAGGCTGGAGGTGCACAGTAGGGTGCTCAGTCAGGCTGGAGGTGCACACTGGTCATACTTGCCTTTCATGACTCAGGGGAAAGGCTGCTGGGGAACTAGCACTCCCTGCAGATTCTGGCCCAGGAGCCATGCCTGACCCTGTGTAAGTCTGTCCACTTGGCATGCATGTCTGGTTCTCCCAGCTATTAAGATGGTGTGAGTTGAGCATGAAGCAGGTGGCAGCTGCACCATCTTCTCTGTCCTATGTAGCCAGGCTGGGACCCTTATGTGACTTCTCACTGCACTTGTGCCCTACATGGGCATCTCCAAGAGGCACGGAAAGATGTCTGAAAGTGACTCCCATTGAGGTACTACCTTTGAGGGTCTAGGGCTACTTACCCTCCCCCACGCCAGGGTGGGAAAGCATGTAAGGCCTGTACCAGCTCACTGGTGGGAAACTGACAGGGTGGAGAGGCAGATGCGGGTGGCTTTGCTCAGCAAAGCTGCCCCCTTCCTTCTGAAGTGTGGCTTCCACATGGGGATCCGTGCTGAGAGGGCAGCAGCAGTGCTCTCCTTGGGTTAGCTGCCCACCCATGACCCCAGGCTTCCTCTTTAAGGTCTTCCTCCACTAGTATTACTATGACTGGTAGGGCGATTTCCTTGGCTCCTGCTAGTAGGCCACAGCCTAGGAGGATGAGAACGGGAGATAGGATTTCTTTGTGTAAGGGTCCAGATGCTGCTGCAGAGGTGTAATGCCCTGAGGGCTGATATGGAAATTTGGCTCTGGTAGCAGGAGTGGGTGGGAATCCTGTTGTTTTGGGTATCTACTCTGTGATATTTGACAGTCTGGGCTCACTGTGTCCTTTCTCCTTCATGACCCAGGCTGTGTGGCTTCAACTCCTATCCCCACTGTGTGCTCTTGTTCTCAATGTCTGGTAAATGTGAGACCCGTGGCACTGAGCCTTTGGGGTTGGCATGTGAGAACTGGTGTGTTGGACCCAGACTGGCCATTTTTTTTATTTCCTAACAATTCCTTGTCTGTTTTAGGAGTAGGGATCTCTCAAGCCCTGCCAGGAATGCTGGAGGTTATAGCTAAACCTTCACCATGAACCCTCACCCACTCAGCCATGAGCAATAACCTCTAATCCCTGAACATTGAGCATTTACCACTAACTCCTAAATGATGAGTGCTTATCGCTGACTCTTAACCCCCAACACTGTTCAGTGAGAAAAAGCACTGAATCCTTAACTGGTGAGCACTCAGCCCTGACCCATAACCCCTACTGGCTGAGCAGTGAACATCAACCCTTAGCCCCTAATGCTGAGCACTGAGGGGCAATCCAGCACTGATAACAGCAGAGTGCTCAACCTTACCCTGCAACCCCTAACCACTGAATGTTAACTAGTAACCCCATGCTCAGCCCCTTTTCAGTGAGCAATAACCCAAACCAATAATGGTTGAACACTCAGCACTGACCCTTAACTGCCTACACAATTAGGGAGCAGGGAGAGAGAACCCTAGACCCCTCACTGCTGACCCAAAAACATTTAGTGAGAGAAAACCGCTAAGGCCGGACTGGTGAGCTATAACCACTAGCCCAGGAGCAGTGAGCGATAATTGCTGAGTGCTCAGACCTAACCCTTAACAGCTAAAAAGTGAGCAATACCATCTAACTCCAGATTGGTGAGCAATAAATTAAACCCTGAGCTGTTTAATGTCAATTAAAAAAAAACTGCAATAGCTGCTCAAAAGAACATGAGTAGCACTGCACTGATCTCATACCAACAGAACACTAGATAGTTAGATTTATTCTAACATTAAAAGGTTGTATATACCTAAAGTAAAATATAAATGGGTTTTAGTAGTTTTACATCACATTTTTATTTAAGTAATTGCTACAAAAAACCGATTCATTAGAGACACTTCAGTAAAGGCTTCCAATTCCCCTTAGTGCTGTAGCCTACAGGTATAGGTATTTGCTAGATGAGGCTTAGGTGTAAATTAAGGCAATAATGCAATGAGCCTACAAGGCCTGTAAGACAATAGTTTAGCTAAATTAAGGCACAAGGTCCAAAAAGGTTTAAGCATAAGTAGTTAACCAAAAGTAACCCTAGATAATATGATTTTAAACAATAAAAATGCTGTAATAACTAAACTGTTGACAAGTAACCACGAGATACTAGTTCATAGCATCTTGAGATATTTTAAGGTAGGGACATCAGCAGCTGTCTGACAACAAGACTGTCATGGTAACTGACTGAATTATATGCTAATAAAATTAAGGTAAAAGGATTAATCTATTGGAGAAGGGCATCCCAACATTACGGTGAGGAACTGATGATGTTCGTCCATCGTTATCGATGAAGACCTCAACAACTCATTCTTTCGATGACCGGGCTCTGTGCGTCCGAAGATGACTGATCAGTCCAATTTGGGCGTGGAACGTCCTATCACACGTCGGGCAGACATGTAATGGCACTGTCGATTGTGGAAGCACTGTCGATTGTTATTCTCCGACATGATGATGTATGAGCAGCTCTGGACTTGCGCAGCTCACGCTTTTTTTCAGCCTCAGCAATACGCCTCGCCTCAGAGGTATTACTGCCTGTGTGAATGAGGCTGCGCCATGCTGGACGGTTCAGTGTGAAGGTTTCCCATGTGGTGGTGTTGATCTCAAAGGACTTCAGAGAGGTCTTCAGCGTGTCCTTGAACCACTTCTTTTGTCCTCCATGGGAGCGCTTTCCCTGAGTGAGTTCTCCGTAGAAGAGCTGTTTAGGAATGCGTTCGTCTGACATTCTCACGACATGTCCAGCCCACCTGGTCTGGGCTCTCATCAGCAATGTGTGAACTGACGGCAGACTGGCTCTAGTAAGGACATCAGTATCGGGCACTACAAATAATGAAAAGGGCCTGAAACCCCATCTGAGTATTGCATTGCGCATGGTGGCATAAGTGTAACACATTATAATAAGTTGTATCCCACCCTGGGTGCCTTCAGAGATGCCAAGATGACGACTGATGGTGATGGGGAAGATAACTAACACTGCAGGTTGTTTTGCACGGGATGGTGTAAGTATCTGGATTCTCAGCACATTCTGTACTCTCTCTACCTGCCTCGCAGGGTTTAGAGTGTTCGTGACTTTGCTAACTGTATTAATAAAATTATTATAAATACAGTGTGATTTCCTAAGTGTGAGTGTTGCAACCATGCACCTTCAGGCTCCCAACTGAACAGGAGTTCTGATAATACTTTGCCTGATCTTGGTACAAGAACCTATCAAATTTCAGTGCTATTTGGGGAAACTAAATAATATTACTAATTGATATACAATCAATAGATCTGGCACAGTGCATGTGTTTCCTATTCTAACTAGGTAAATGTTTAGGAAAGCAAACCCACAGTGGCAGCAAGTTAAATCCTATACAAATCACTCCTAGAAGAGTATGGACCAAACCATGAGACCCTTGCTCAGTTTTTACTCATTAAGTAAATGGATGCTTTGCTTGAGTAAGGACCTCAGGATTTGGCCTCATTTCAGTATTTTATTGTGGCCAACTTAACATTGTTGGAGGACTGTCTCCACCATCTTGTGACTACTGAATTCTTTAGCAAAGAAAGCAGTAGATGGGGGGGGGGGGGGGGGAAGGAATGCTGTAAAGTTGTCCAAATAAATTTGCTTACCAGTTGCACAATATGGCCCCAAATTAGGACCAACATGGTTCAGTTGTTTCAGTGCAATATACTTTCAAATAAGATCCATGTTCACTTTCAGAATTCTACTGCATTCCAGCACCAGGTATCTTCCTATATTTGTATATGAAAGCATCTGTTTTTCCAAGGCTAACTCCATAGGATTCTACTGCTGCCAAAGACCCAAAGCATGTAATGTTATTGTTGAAGTGTTCAGTTTCTACAACTTTAATTGAAGAGGAAATACTTCTTGGACTCCCATTTTTCTCTTTGGGATTCAAGTCTTTCACCACACCAGCTCCATTCTTGTTGTCAATGGTGGCGTTCAAAGATGTGTCATTTTCAACACAATTGCTAATACAGCCACCCATGTGCTTGTGGAGATCTTGACTCACAAGTAATACAAGTGTCCCTCCAACATGAAGCACTCTGACAGTTTAAAAAAAAAAAAAAAAAAAAAAACATGGTTAGTTGTGCATGCTTACTAGGCTGTGCATTCTATCTATGGACTCCTCATGCCCCTATTACTGTAGTATCTAGGCACCCTCAATCAAAATCAGAGCTATGACCATTCTTTGCAAAGAACAAGTCAGTATCTGTCACCCTTCAAGGATCACAGAGACACTGGGATTTTAGATGCTTTGGCCCTAATTCAGTGAAACACTTAAGTACATGCTTAGGTTTCTTGTTTCATCATAATCAGTAAAACCTTTTGCAAACTGTTGTAGCTCCACTCTAAATTTTTCCCTAAATGGAGAAGCTGGACCCTTCTTGCCTCAGCAATATTTCTGACTTGGGGAAATAAAAAGCATTTGTTATAGATAAAGGTGGGTCCAGCTGTACTGCTGACATTTCTTCTCAAACTGAAAGGATCTCCTCCCTCAGACACCTTTTCCAGACCTAACTGATGGAAGTTGGAGGCTTTGGACTGATTTTCCAGAGCCTCTAAACTACAATGTAAAAGAAGTATTTCCTATGACAGAATAAGTGAGTTTTTAAACTGACCTTTTCCTTAGGCTCATCTACACTTACAGTGGTGTTTAGAGTACAGACACTGCATGCCCAGTTAGTATGGGCATAAACAAAACTGTAAAGGGTGAAGCACTGTTTAGGTGAGTAGTTACCTGCATAACTGAACCCTAGGATATACACCCTACATGGGCTCTCTACATGCCCAAGCAGCGTCTCCCACGTCCATTCTGCTATTTTTAGCAATGTAGCGTCCCGCAGGCTTCCGGCTGCTGGAGCCTTTCCTTGCTGCAAGGAAAGGTTCTGGCAGTGGGGTGCTGCTGGAGCCTTTGCTGCTCTGTGTAGCTCCACACCATAGTGAGTGTGGATGCAGACTGCTTTTCACTGTATAATGTAGCTACACGTACGATTCATGCCACCGGAATTGTAGTCAAGTGTAGTCACGGTCTTAGTGAGATCTAAATTATTGTCCTCAGTTTGTTCTATTGATTCCTAAAGCTTTTTAATCTGAGGAAAGGTGACATCAAATTGCACATAGTTTAAAATCAAGTTATATAAATTATCTGTTAGGAGCTAACATTACAAGAGCCACTGGAATGCTTGAGCCCCAGAGCGGAACTGCTCCCATCTGAAGACTGCTCACAGCCAGCAGGTCAAATAAAAGGTTCTCATTAAGTCTGTTGGTGGAACTTCTCCAGCAATTTTTTTCCTTGTTCCCATATTCAAGGAAATATCTTTGCCCGAGAAGATCCACCAAAAGAAAACAAGACCAGAATGGAACAGAGCTCTAAGCAAGGCCAACAAGAGAATAAAGTAGATAGTTTTCAAAAAGAAAAAAAAAAGAAAAAAGAAAAAACCCACACCCACAGATCCACCAGATGATTACATCGATACCTGTCTGGTCTGACAAAAAGGAAAATCAAATACAATGGCTCAACCTTTTCTGTACCAGGACCCCTCCCACAGAGCCAAAACATAAGGGAGGTCACAACCCCCTGAAACTTGTTCTAATTGCAAAACTTGAAGAACCCATGATCTAATACAACAAACCTCCATTAAAAGTGTATTACTACTATATCCCATAGTCTAGTTACTCTTCCAACTGCAGTGAGACTTAAAGTAAATTCCCTCTTTCCCAAAATTAGGGCCACCAATAAATAGGGCAACGGATCACAAATACAACTGACTAGTAAAGACCTCTTTACCTTTCTTCACCATAGAAACAGAAGTTTCTACACTCCACTTTTTGGTTTATGCCCTGCCCACCAGTCTCATTTTTGGAGATGTATACTTTTGGCATAGTGCTCATTTTGAAAATTTATTTTTATGGGGACCATTAGGACTGCTTGTGTTTTGTCCCCCCCTCCCCCCATTTAGAGCCATTTTCAAGGTTAGAAGAAAGCCTGTTTTCTTCTGAAATTTTTTTACATATTTTAATTAAAGTTTAGTAAACAGAGGAATAAAGTATTAAGACAAATATGATAACAGGCCTTTTTAGAGATGAAAGCAATGCCTTTATTTAAAAAAATGCATACAAATATTAGTAACAGAACATGCATTTTTAGAGAAAATAAAGGGGAGTGGGTTAAACAAGAAAGTGAGAGAGGCAGTAGAACAGCCAAGAAAAGCAAAAGCCTTTCAGCCTGTTACAGAAAAAAAGAGGCTGCAGAGAAAGTTTTAAAACCGGAATGGAAGAAAAGTCTGTCTCTCTCACTTTGTCTCTTGTTTACCTTCCCCTTCATTTTCTCTACAAACATGTTCTGTTGCTAAAATGTAATGCCTTTATTTAAAAAATGCATTAAAAAAAAAAAAAAAAAAACTCTAAAAAGTCTTTATATTTATGCCTTAACACTTTATTCCTTTGTTTTCTAAACTATTTAAAATGTGTAAAGCTTATTTTCTTCTTTAAAAAATTCTCTTTTTTTTTAACCTTTAAAATGGCGCTAAATGTGAAAAATCACACAAACAATACTAATGTTCCCTATAAAAGAAATATTAAAATGGCTACCAAGCCAACAGTGTACACCTCTAAAAATGAGACCAGTGCGTGGGACATAAACCAGAAAGGGGGCATGGAAACCTGTCAAAATTTATGATGAAAGGTAAAGTTGTCTTTACTATTCTACTGTTGCAAAAGCATCTTAAGACTCCTCTAGTATCAACAAAAATGAACCATTTAGAATCATCTGGTATGAGTGTCTAAACTTTGACAGCTGTATGCTTCTCAGACCACCACTGAAAACACAGCCAGCTTTCAAAATAACCTCTACCTGAAAACAGTAGGAAGGGTGAAGGTTCTGTCACCACATTGACTTGTAGAAAGAGTAACCCCTCAGTTCAAGAATGCCTCGAGGACGTAACATAACATACATGCGTTGACAGCTCTTACTGCTGTCAAAGCTTCCACAGATTGCAAGGCAAGACATGAAACACCTCAAGTGATGCTCTGGAGAAGTGGATTTGTGAGGAATAATTGTATGCAACATAGACATATTTAATTTTTAGCTTTTCTGAGTCCAGACCACAGAATTGGGGGTCATTTAGAGTAGAGATTTTTATGCTCATGATTACAAACAAGTATAGAGTTTAAAAAATACCCTAAAGTGTTTCAAAGATTATATATACCTTTCCATTTCTCGAAGAATATTTGGTAGAAGCTTTATGTCTTTTGTTATCTTGAACTTTTTCCCAAATGGAATGTCCGAAATCACAACATCAACACTTTCTGAAGGTAAGGGCAATGCTGCAAAACAGAAGTCAGATTCTTAAATTTGGCTAAACTTAAGAAAGAACAGTGACTGAGTAGCAACCACGGTTCAAGCATGTTGACAGCAAAGATCCTCACTCCTGTGGAGTGCATAGCCTCAGCACAGTGTTCAGAACTTCCAAAAAACCATGGTTATTGAGGCAATGTATATGCTCCCTCATAAAAGGAGCCACAAACTCAACTCTGCCCCAGTCCCTTTCAGCTTCAACAGAATCCACATGGACCCACCCTGAAAGGTAGACATGGGGGAAAGGGCGTATACAATTTATGCTGTCAATCTCCACAAAGAATTACAATAACTAGATAAACTTTTCTCTCCTTTGCATCTGACAGCATAGATCCCCCAACCGCTGCAGATAAACTAGCAGTGACAACTCTCTATAGAAGTGGTCTAAGAAGAACTAGAGTGGAGAACTATTTTCCCAATTTGGGCATCCAAACTGGAGGATAAGCCACAGGATAATAGTACACTGAATATATAAACTGACCATCAAGGAGCAGGTTTACAAGTCTTAGGCTCTCTCTAGACTACCACTTTTGTTGGTAAAACTTTGTCAGTCAGGGGCGTGAAAAAATACCCCCCTGACCGACATAAGTTTCACTAACAAAAGTGCTGGTGTGGACAGCACTATGTTGGCAGGAGAGGCTATCCTGCCGGCAAAGAGCGGCTACATGGGAGACCTTACAGCAGCGCAGCTGCAGTGGTATAGCTGTGTCACTATAAGGTCCATAGTGTAGACATAGCCTTAGTGAAGGAGGTGATCCTAAGACCTGTTGAGTTTGCTATGAACCTGGAGGAATTTATTGTAAGCATCTGAGGGTCTTACACACCTCCAAGCTTATGACATTGTTATAAAACAGTGGTTCTCAAACTTTTGTATTGGTGACCCCTTTCACACAACAAGCCTTTGACTGTGACCTCCCCCCGCCCCCCAATTAAAAAAAACATTTTTATATTTAACACTATTATAAATTCTGGAGTCGAAGAGAGGTTTGAGGTGGAGGCTGACAGCTCGTGAACCCCCCAGGTAATAACCTCATGACCCCCTCAGGGGTCCCAACCCCCAGTTTGAGAACCCTGTTATAAAACATTTCATCCATCAACACCACGCAGGAGGCACTCAAGAGATGTGTGACAGGGGACACCTATGGTATCTGCTAAAAGACCTAAGAAACCTAGAAAACAAGAAACCCCAAGGACATCTTAACTATCCTCTTTCATTACTAGAAAGAAACCAATGCCATTAGTGTAGCTTCAGTCCCATATTCCACTAAAGGCAATGGTATAAAATGAGGGCATGATTTAGTTTTAAAGTGGGAGTTATGTGGTTAACCTTGCAGGCACTTTACTTACAAGAATAATTTGCTCAAATGCACATGTTAAATTGAAGGAAGTGATGCATTAGATCTTTCATACAGAATCTGGTTACAGGCAGGCCTGGCTGTAGCCAATTTAATTTTGATTTTGAGCTGCTTTCTTTGAATTGCTTCTCCAGATGCCACAATTTTCTATGCCAGCTCTAAGTGATTTTCTTTTACTGAAGCTATACGAAAAGGCTAGTCTCTTGAGAATGGCCTTAGCTGTTTCCCAGAACATTCTTGGACCAAGACGTATGGTAAATTGTTTTGTCTATGAGCGAAATAGCCAGCTATGCATTCTTTTGAAAAAACCATGAAATTAATATACTCTGACCAATGACTAAGATACAACCACGAAGCACCAATTACTTCCTCAACAAGGGTATGGTTTGAGTTCAGAATACATCTAATTTTAAGTATCCTAAGCCAAGACAAGTCCAGTGGAGGGCTCTAAAACCAATCAGGTAAGAAACAGATATTACAAGGGAAGGAGTACTATACATTCTCCTTCATCTGAATACAAGGTAAGGTGTCAAATAGAGACGATCTTTTGCTAACTGCTGTAATGAGTTTTCATACATGGGTAATTCAGGTCCAGATTTGGAGGACTTGTCCAGATTAAGTATCATATCATAAAGCAATTATCTTCTCCTAAAATCAGCCCATAAATTGAGAACAAACCGACAGCATTTTCCAGGAAAAGGCCAGGGTCATTAAATTTATCCACTGCAAAAGATAATGATTCATTAATTGGCTTAAGTTATCATTACAGAAAAATGTGAGTTACAAGTTGCAGCAGATCACAGGGCTTTATCTTTGTATTATAATAGTTAACTACAACTTTTACCTAAACAATGACTTTTTTTGACTGGGAATTTCACATAAGATACAGAGTAATAGTAGTGATTTGCCAAACCCTAGAAATTAATATATACAGTATCATTTTGTTAAGTTTCTTGTCAAAACATAAGGGGAAGAGAACAGAAAAACAGCAGGTCATGAACATAAAGGAAAGTGTCAACCCAATCATGTATGAAAAGAGTCAAGGACTCTAGGTTTTAGTATACTTTAACTCACAGCATTAACTATAGTTCTAGAACTCTGTTTAGAGTCCTTAACACATGCTTTGTCATTCTAAAATATTTTCAAATATTACCTATGACAGATGCTTTAAGTAACTCAATTTTATCCATCAAGCCTGCAGCCTTAATGTTTTCATGTGCACCTTGTAGCTGCGAATCATTTATATCAGCACCCAAGTAATGTACATTCTGTTGGAGGGGAAAGGAGAAATTTTTATTATGCAGAATAAAACATAATACTGAATATTTTTACACATTTAAGAGTACAAGTTGTTCTTCAAAGGCAAGACCTCTGGGTGAGATTCAGTGCTGCAGATCTTACAATAGCAGAATATAACTCAAAGTCCAGAGAGAAGAGATGCAAAAGTAGCTTT